CCTACTATGATAAGGAGTTGGAAATTCTCTTTGAGTTTGAGTTCTATTCAAACAAGGAGATAGCAAATTTTGTTTATTCCTTCCTAAGTTAGGAATCCTACTACATTAAGGAATAGTCAAGTCAATTCCTACTAGGAAGTGCTTGAACTGATCTGTTCATTTTAATTTGCTTGGGTTTGGTTCTCTTATTGCTTTTCTTGTTCGTTCCTTTGTGTCTTTTTGTTTCCTTTAACTCTTCTTGTAGATTTGTTGGAGATAGATTGTTGCGAAATAACTTGAACTGAGCTTGTTTTGTTCAATAACGAACTAAAAGAGGAAGGTTGAGTGAGGGAAAAAGGCAAGAGGTGTGAACAACACTTGAGAGAAAAGCCAAGTTCTACAGTGTGCAAAACATTAGCGTTGAGTGCCATTCTATGAGAGAGTGGAGTAAAACATGTAAGGGAGTGTTGTGAGGTCCTTTTATTCTTTTGTTTCTAACATTCATTGCAGGTTTCAATCATGTCAAGCGCTGATGACAAATCAACCACTAGAAGACACCATGTAGATGAATCTCTCATGCTCAAAGCAATGCAACAACAATTTCAGAGGCTGGACATCATGTTTGGTGAGATTAGAGACAAAATGGAGAAGCAAGATGCAGCTATAGCCAATTTATACCAAATACAGAATGGAAGTCCGAATTTGCGGAGGAATGATGCTAATGATGATCTTAATGACGATTATGAAGATGCATTCAACAATGATGCCCAGAACTCAATTTTCAGCATGGACAAATTTATGAGAGGTAGAGGGGATCAAAAAGGTAGATTTAACCGAGGAGAGCAAAATCTTACAAGGTGGGGAGATCAGCAAGATTGTGACTTAGGTAGCATCAAGATGAAGATTCCTCCGTTTCAAGGCAAAAATGACCCAGATGTGTATTTGGAGTGGGAAAAGAATGAGGAATTGATGTTTGATTGCCATAACTATTCTGAGGAGAAAAAGGTGAAACTAGCAGTGGTGGAATTTATTGATTACACTATGGTGTGGTGGGATTAGCTTGTGCTTAGTCGACGTAGAAATTGAGAGCGTCCTGTTGACACTTGGGAAGAGATGAAAGCTGTGATGAGAAAATGATTTGTTCCTAGTCACTACTACCGTAATCTCTATCAACAATTGCAGGGCCTTACTCAAGGGTCCAAAAACGCTGAGGATTATCACAAAGAGATGGAAATCGCAATGGTTAGAGCGAATGTGGAAGAGGACAGAGAAGCAACTATGGCACGGTTTTTGCATGGCTTAAATCGTGATATAGCTAATGTGGTGGAGCTGCAGCATTATGTGGAATTAGAAGATATGGTGCATATGGCGATGAAAGTAAAACAGCAATTCAAGCGTAAAGGAGCCACCACTAGAACTGGGCAAAATTCAGGTTCCTCATCTTCTGGGAAACTAAATTGGAGCAAAAAGGAAGAAAATTCTACTTTTAAGCCTAAAACTACAGCATCTAAGTCAAAAGAAGTTGGCAGCAATGAGAAGAGTAAAACAGATAATACGCAAGGTAGAAACTGAGACATCAAGTGTTTCCGATGCTTGGGAAGGGGGCATGTTACATCACAATGTCCTAATAAGCACACGATGATCTTGAGAGAAGATGGAGAAATTGGAACTGAGGATGAATCTGATGATGAATCTATGCCACCATTAGAAGATGCTAATGATGGTGTGGAATATGCCGTTGATGGAGAACTGCTCGTCACCAGGTGAGCTTTGAATGTGCAAGCCAAAGAAGATGACGAAGTACAACATGACAATATATTTCACACAAGGTGTCATGTCAAAAACAAGGTTTGCAGTGTGATTATTGATGGTGGTAGTTGTACTAATGTAGCTAGCATTGTTTTGGTTGAAAAGCTTAATTTACCTATGACGAAGCATCCAAGGCCATATAAGCTGCAATGGTTAAACAATTGTGGAGAAATCAAGGTAAATAAGCAAGTTTTGGTTTCATTCTCTATTGGACGATATAAGGATGAGGTACTTTGTGATGTGGTTCCTATGCATGTTGGACATTTACTTTTAGGGTGACCATGGCAATATGATAAGAGGGCAACACATGATAGCTTCAAAAATCGCTATTCATTTGTCATGGAGAGGAAAACAATTACTCTTGCACCATTGAGTCCAAGGCAGGTTTCTAAAGATCAATTGAGAGTAAAAAAAAAGAGCGAGCTTGAGGGTATGAAAAACAAAGAGAAAATAGCAGAAAAAGAGTCCAAAAACAGAGAAAAGATTGAGAGTGTTGAAAACAAAGAGAGAAAATCAGTGAATATTTATGCAAAAGAAAATGATGTCAAGGCTGCGTTCTTTGCAAAGCAGCTTATGTTTGTGCTTCTGTATAAAGATGCTTATTTCAACACTAACGAACTTAATGATTCTTTGCCTAATATCGTTAAATCTCTTTTGCAGGACTTCAACGATGTGTTTCCAGAGGACATTCCTAATGGTTTACCACCAATAAGAGGAATTGAGCATCAGATTGACTTAATTCCAGGTGCAACAATTCCAAACCGACCAGCATATCGAAGCAACCCCAATGAGATGAAAGAACTTCAAAAGCAGGTTGAAAAACTCATGAAGAAGGGGCATGTGAGAGAAAGCATGAGTCCATGTGCAGTTCCAGTGCTACTTGTGCCTAAGAAGGATGGGACTTGGCATATGTGCATTGATTGTCTTGCTGTTAACAAAATCATTATAAAGTATCATCACCCTATTCCTAGATTAGATGACATGTTAGATGAACTGCATGGTTCTTGCATATTCACTAAAATTGATTTAAAAAGTGGGTATCATCAGATTAGGATGAATGAAGGTGATGAATGGAAAACAGCCTTTAAAACGAAACATGGTTTGTATGAGTGGTTAGTTATGCCATTTGGATTAACTAATGCACCTAATAGATTCATGCGATTAATGAATCAGGTTTGGCGTGCATTCATTAGCAAATTTGTGGTTGTTTATTTTGATGACATTCTGATATACAGTAAGAGAGTAACTGATCATATTGAGCATCTGCGAATGGTATTAGAGGTTTTGAGAAAAAGAAAAGTTGTTGCTAACCTTAAAAAGTGTTCCTTTTGCACAAATCAGATTGTCTTTTTAGGGTATGTTGTTTCAGCTGATGGAATTGCAGTAGACGAAGAAAAGATTAAGCTATTAAAAAATGGCCAACACCTAAGAATATTTCTGAGGTGCGGAGTTTTCATGGTTTGGTAAGTTTCCATCGGAGATTCATCGAGGAGTTTAGTACAATTGCAGCTCCGTTGACTAAAATCGTAGAAAGAAGTGTCGGATTTAAGTGGGAAAATGAACAGGAGAATGCTTTCAATTTGATTAAGGAGAATTTAATTTTTGCACCATTACTTGATTTACCTGATTTTATTAAAACTTTTGAAATTGAATGTGATGCATCAGGTATTGGCATTGGCATTGTTTTGATGCAAGAGTGGTGACCTATTGCATTTTTCAGTGAAAAATTGACTGGTGCAGCACTTAATTATCCTACATATGACAAAGAGATGTACACATTGGTAAGGGCCTTAGAAACATGGCAGCATTATCTTTGGCCTAAGGAGTTCATGATACATACTGATCATGAGTCGTTGAAGCACCTCCAGGGACAAGGTAAGTTGAATAGATGACATGCTAAGTGGGTGGAATTCCTTGAGACATTTCCCTATGTGATCAAGTACAAGCAAGGAAAAGAAAATATTGTGGCTGATGCATTATCTCGCAGGTACACACTTATCTCTACTCTATGTGCAAAGTTATTAGGATTTGAGCACATTAAAGAATTATATGCTAATGATCCAGATTTTGCTAACGTGTTTAATGCTTGTGAGAAGGCAGCTTCTGACAAGTTTTATAGGCATGATGGGTTCTTATTTAGAGAAAATCGATTATGTGTGCCTAACTGTTCATTAAGAGAATTCATCAGAACCCCAAAGAGAACAATGAGACCCATAGCACGACAAGGGATTTCTAAACTCCAGGAAATTTAAATCAGGTTTATAATAGGACCTTGACCCGTTGTTTATGTCGCAACAAGAACCAAAGGTAAAAACCTTGACCCGTTGTCTATGACGCAGCAAGAACCAGAGGTATAAAGTTGGTTGACGCCACACCCTCGAACGATTAAGAACGAGAATGATAAGTCAGGTTAGATCGCCACAAGAATAATTTTGATAAGTTCTGTAAAGTTCTGAAATGAACCAAAGAGAAAGTCTTTCAAAATCTCAGATTCAATAGCTTCCTCCCCATTAGGGTTACAAGCCTTTTAAATAGAGAAAACAAATCCTAATCAGAATAGGAAATTAACACCCTAAGTCCTAAACCTCATAACCACGAATTGGGCTTCAAATAAGCGAATGATCAGCCCAAAAATAATACAAAAAACGTGAAAATCACTAAAAATAACCTAAAATAACACAAAATATCAGTTTGCTACAAATTGCGGCAGAATTGTGCGATTTTGACGCAAATTGTGTAATTCTGTGCAAATGACCTCAACTAAGCTTCTCTTGAACCTGAATGATGTTTACCATGCCTTGATAATCATCCAAGCTTCGATTTGCTTGTTGTATGTTGTTTTCAACCCA